TCAGCAGGTTATGCTTTTAATTTTTTAAACCAATAAGCTCTATTGATAAGAATTTGAATGCAAATCCAGCTATAACCCGAACAAAGACGCTTTATGCTGAAGTATTTCTGTCCCTACCTATGGAAGTAGCTGTGGCAGCACAAACACTTCCATGCCAATATAAATGCGTACAGATTCCCCGCAGCATGCTGCTTTAACTATACTCCAATTGAGTTAAGTGCTAAAATTTTCTAGGCTTAGTGACACCAATATTTTACTTCTGATCCATCATAGCTGCCCGTGTCCATTCTCTTAGCCCATGGCAAAGGCAGGATAATTTGAGTTGTTTTGCCCTGCTTCATTGAAAACTAAGATGACTCAAATTACTTTGAATATGCTTCAGGCAAAGCTCACACACATGGACAGCTATAATGGATCAACTGACATGCAGTAAAAGATTGGTGGGGATGAAATAGAGCACAAGTCCTTTTTTTTCTTTCCCCCCCGGCACTTAACACAAGAAGGGCCAAACCTAACTCGAGCCCTTTGAGAGCTACAACACATGAGTGACCAGATGAGTGAAAAACAACTAAAAAGCTCCTACATCTGGCAGTCTCTTCAAGAGCAACGTTAGCTGCAGAATAACTTGACTACAGAGATGAAGATCTGGACAGAGCTACTCAGTTATCTCTGCTGCTAACTACTCCAGGTTTGCCAGCTTTGCTTATTCTCCTCTTTTTCCTTCACCACCTTGTCCTTTCCTTAGCTGTTCCTGCCCCAGTCTGCTCCAGCTATAATTCCCTGCTTTAGCAGTCGCAGCGAGTCTTTTCAAAAATGCTAAGTCTTCAAGGTATGTCCATCAATGGTGCCTGCAGCACCTGCATACTTCACATTTGTACACTGAATGATGATGGTGTTGTTTATCTTTTCCATCTGCATTAAGCAAAACCAGGGTTAATATTATCTCATGTAGCAGACGTGCACTGACACTAACCCCTTTGGTTACCCTCTCTCATTTGTCCATCAGTTTATCTGAGAGAGTGCCCAAATTAAAGCCAAATTTTCATTTCTTTTTCATGTAGATGTTGAGGCATTTTTAACCACTAAAATCCAAATATTACTGCAAGCCCAGCCAACACATGCGATTTGTCCATCATTAAAATACATCTCTATTTCCAGTGAAGTCTTACTGGTTCATATCACAACAAGACTTTTACAAATGAAACTATTAAGAAAAAAAATTAAAAGGATGCAACTAACTTCTAGTCATTATCTGGTCATCTGACACTCCTGTGTATGTTCCTTGGTACCTACTCGAACAGTATGTATTCCATAGCACACGCTGAACACAACTGCGTCATAATCTGTATCACTTCCAATGCTATTCCTCATTAATTGAGAATAGGCAAGAATATAAATTGTACATATCTATTACAAGTACTGTAGAGAAGTCCTATCTTGTCAGACTACGCAGGAAACTGTCAATTCCATTAGAAATTCTCCTTGAAAACTGACACTGCAGAATGTGTCAGTAGTTTCTGATGATGTCAGATGAGAAACTGCAGCAACAGCTAAGAGCAGGGTAGTGCTCCCTCGAGACGCCAACTTTGGC